CTTTAAACTCCTTAATCACAGCTGAGATATGAGCCTGCATTGGGCCATTAATCATACTCTCATAATTCCTAAGTTTGTTGGCAACAGAGCCCACTGTCTCCCGGTGAGCGTCAGCATTGATTGTTGCAATGAAGGTGGTGTATTGAGATGGCCCAAGATTTGCTAGACGCCACAGCATTTGTCCTGTACACCTGACCTTGTCGGGGTCATTATTGTGTCATCCATCCCTCCCAAAGAGTACCTCCAATACTGCCACTTCCCTCAGCTGTTGGATCCCTTCCTCGAGGGTCTTCCAGCACATTCTATGATGGTGGTCCTGCATTCTCTCCCTGTGAACAAACCTCTCCCTGACACTCATTAAGAGCCGCTCCCAGAGAGAAAGGGACCCTGGTTCCCTTACAAAAACCTGATTTATACCCGAGTCCTGGGTCAAGGGTCCCAAGTTCCTTCCCTCACCACCATCCAGCTGCACGCCTGTACCCATAAGATCCCAAACCCGGAGTAACCAACTAGTATAAGCCTCATGCCCTCGTCGCACAATGTCTTTATGCAGATTACGAAGACTTTCGTACATCAGGGACTCGGTGATGATAACAATCTCTGGCTCCCCTGTGGGTTGTGAGGTTCCTCCATTCCTGTCCCTATCTGCAGGGTGCTCTGCTTTCACCTTAGACTTCCTTGTTTCTACCGGGGCAACTGCTGCTGACTGTGACTGCCTTTGTGGTTCAGCTGGAACCTGGACAGTTGTAACATCTGTGGGTTCCACAGCTGTACTATTAGACTGTCCCTCCTCAAGGCAAAGGGCCGGTTTCTCACCAGCTGGGGAAATGCACTCCTTCAGCATCTCTCGTATCTCCTTAACCAGAACCCTCACCCAATCTGGGTGGTTCATTTCTGAGGTGGGCTGTGGGGCAGGGTCAGGCTCTGGAGCAGCAGCATCTCGAGTCTCTGGGGCAGTGTCAGGTTCTGCAGGAGCATCCCTAGCCTCTGGTGTAGGTGTGAGGGTAGTTATCCAGGTTAATCTTCCCTTATCTCTGAGTGCTAAATATAGCAGGCCTATCAGCAACACCACCCATTGTATGATATCATTAGCACTTAGAGAGGATCTTAAACCTTTGAAAACTGGTGGAGCAGACCCAAAAAGATGGTTAAAAGGTTGGGAGAAAGTTTCCCCAGGTGCTATTTCATCGCAGTAGGTACCGTTATTAAAGTAACCCCAAAAACATACAGTTAGTGTGTGATAGCTATGAATCCATGTACCTGCCTTCCAGAGGAAATTAAGGTCCATGAATTCCTCACCCAATTAACCCAGAAGCCACACTTGATAACAGACACAGTAGCCTTAGTTATAGGACCCATTTTTAGATAAGAGTCTGCAAATGGGAAAAGTATAGTTACGATCACATGCCACCCAAACCAAGGTAAACTAGACCACATGGTGATGCTGAAGATTTTTCTACACACAACAAAAAAACAAATTACTTAAGAACTGTTAATCCGTTTTCCCTCTCAATGCCCTCAAGACCCACATTGATGCGCCAAAATCTGTCTTGGTTTGACAAGACAGGAGTCTGTGAAGGAGGGCAAAAGCCTCCTGTGCAATGGAGAAGGTAAACCCCCTCCCTCTGAATTACCAGGATTTTTAAATTAAAAGGCTCTCAGGCAAAGATATGGGAATGGGAGTAACAATTCTTTACTAGGAGAAACTAAATAACAATTTAAAAAGGCAAATGCAATTGGTACAAACAAAACTAGTGATAAAGTCCAGAACCTGAGGAGTCGGGGTGTTGGTAGCAGTCCAGTTGAAATGACAGCTGCTCCTCTTGCAGTGGCTGATGAATTGCAGCTGTAGTGGTGATCTTTAGAAGGGTATAGTTTTCTCTGAAGATCTGGTGGCAGTTGGGCCGGTCTTCCTCTGCGCCGGGGCCGCCTCCAAGCTCCGCCGCCGACGCCTCACCGCGCTCCGGCCGTTTCTCTGTGAATCCCGCCAAAGGAGCTGCTTCTCTGGGAATCCCGCCAAAGGAGTTGCTTCTCTGGGAATCCAGCAAAGAGAGAGAGCTGCTCTGTCCCCCAAAAGGTACCCCTTTATACAATACAAGAGTGCTTGGCTTCCCCCTCTGGGTGGAGCATCTCACAATGGGATGGTGTTACATTACCAGGCCTGCAGTGAGCCAGTCAATGGCCCATTAACAAACGATTACCTTTTAGGAGCAAACCATTGTTCTTGGAAGAGATAACAAACCTGCCCCACCTCCAACAGATTGCAAATAGAATACAAGCTTATCTTACAAACCAGGACACAAAATCAATTCCATTGGTGTTCTTAGTGACAAATTTGTCTTACCCAGTTCCTAAAGCTTTCAATGATGGAGACTCAATGGCCTCATAAGTAAAGTAATCTATGCAAGTCTCACTGTTCATACTATGAGAAGGATTTCTTTCCCTGTCTAACCGGAATCTAATCAGCTGTTGTTTGCTGCAAATCCTTAGTTAGCTGCAAGCCTGAGCTAAGATTCGAGGCGTCCTAGACTTCTGAAGAATTCTGTCCAGTAACTTCCATGAATCTGGAAATAGCCCAAACACAGCCTTGGTTTTTAATGGAACTAATAGTTACTTGTTTTTTAAGTTTGGCTAACATGACCGAGTGTGGTCAGGGATTATTTTATATCCTTTTACAGTTTTTCTTGTTATTCTAATCTATTATCCCTTTAGCATTTTCTGGCTTCAGGTAAAGTTTCCCTGAGAAGTACTTTCTAAACACAGAATGTTTTGACTTAGCTGCAGCAAAACCCATTAGAAAGGTGTGTCTACAGAAAAAATGGAACAAAAAGATTTATTTTAAAATATTACCTAAGACCAGCACCTAGTAGTTTCTTTCCTGTAAGGTCTAATTCTGGTTTTGCCTGTAATTCACTGAACTGTATGTGCTTGAGCTTTCTTACATGATGCTACTCAGTTCAAAGCAACTCTGCTTCCTGCATTAATTGCATTTCCCATTCTCCAGGTTTTGAGATTTGAGAGCAGGGTTCTGCCTGGCAGAAATGCTAAGCACCTACATATTCAACTGCACTTGATGTGAGCTGTTCTTATAAAATATAGTGTGCTCTTGTTATGAATGAGCACCTATCTCTCACACTCTGAGTTGTGAAAGCCTTTATAAAAAAATCAGTTCAATTGGGGCATTTCAGCAAAACCTCTTAAGACTCTTAAGTGTCATAAACACTGATATATACTGTTGTCTCTGAGTCTGAGACCTAACTACTGAGAATCAAAAATTGCTCCCTGCGAGACACACTGGAAAAGCTTTTTGCTATGATGCAGTCCACTAGAGAGGCAGACTTACGGGTGTCCAGAGCTGTCCGGAGGGAAGCGCCGATCCCTGGCGTCTTTCGGCTGAAGCTGCGCTCCAGAGGGTAACGGCTGCTGCTCCGGTGTAGTGTGGGCGAAGCAGCCGCTTCTTCGCCTCTGGGAGCCGGAGACCGCGGTAGTGGAGAAGAGGCTAAGAACGAAGCCGCAGAGCACCGGGCTTCTGCACGCACCCTAAGGACTGCTAGAGGACAGTGGATGCCGCTCGCCTGCCCCTTCAATTCTCTGCTAGCATACTTATGGAAGGTGCTCCAGGACAACTTTCCTGGGTGTTGGCTTCATCCTGATGCAGACATCCTGGAGAACTCTTGCTCGTCCCCTGAGCTTCCGAGATACAGAGAACTCGATGGCAGCTGCAGAAAAGAAGGGCTGCTTTGAGTTTGTCGAGAAGCAAGAGGAGAGACAGCACCTTGTGTTTGGGAGTGAGCAGCTGCTGGATTTTTGCAATTGCCTTCACTGCACACAGAAGCCCGGTGCTCTCTGCTGTTGCGTTTTTTGCCTTCTGTGAACTGCACATGACTGAAGCTGAGCCAGGCTATGCAGCTTCGCCACTTTTCAGCATCTGTGCTCCACCTATGGAAAACATTGCTTTTAAGGAGAGGCTGGAATAATGGAAGGATCCCAGTCCCTCCCAGCATGTTCCCACTCACTCCCAGTTTCCCCCAGTTCAGTCCCAGTTCTCCCCTGCATGGTCCTGATCATTCCCGATGTGGTTCCAGTCCCCCCACTACAATTACAGATACTGCCCGTAGATCCCAATTGCCCCCAGAATATTCGTAATCATTTTCAGGCACTACCAGTGGCCCCAGTAAGGTGTTCGTTATCCCAGTATGATCCCCCAGTCATGGCCAGAATATCCCAGTTGCCTCCAGCATGCATCCAGTTATTCCCAGGTCCTGCAACTGGCTTGCAGCATGATCCCAGTTTCTCTCAGTTGCTGCAAGGAGTGCAAAGTATGAGCACAGTTGTTGCCCTGACTTTTAAAAGTGTTAAGTTTTCTTTTAGAATTCTTTGGAAAGTTTTAAAGTTCTCATGAAACTTCTTGAGCCTTCTGAGAACGTTTTCATCTTCGAGAGTCAGAGCTCCACACCATTTCAGGTGGAAATAGAATTGTTTACATCTTTCTCTGTGGGTGGAGAGAAATGGTCTTTGGACCAGTGTGGTTGGAGAGGTAGTAATTCCATCCTCCAATCCACGGTCACCTTTTGAATTCTCGAAATACCTTACCAGATGTTGGAAGAAAACAGGCTTTTTTTTTTTTTTTTCTGTTTTGAACGTCCCAAGCGTCTGTGTACTCATTTCTTGTCCAATAGCGACTCTGTTGGCGCCGCGTGTGAACGACACCTGTGGGTGACGTCTTGATTAACCCTCTCTCTCCCGGGCGTGACTGCAGCCCTTGTAGGCATGTCTGCTTCTATGGGGCCTGGTGGCAGCTGCCAACAGAGGCAGCCTAGAGGAGCAGAGCCCAGTGTCCCCCAGGAGCCCAAAAATGGGGATCCCAGAGAGGGCAGAGCGCTGCCAGTGGTGACTTCCAGAGATGGCCCTGGGCAGAGGACTTTCCAAGTCAACGTGCTCATCCCTTCTTTTCCCCAAACCAAGATTTCCCATTCCCAAGTCCTTGGAGGCTATGAGGAAGATGCCCTGGGACACCGAGGCAGGTGAGGAGGAAGTCAGTGCCCCTTTCCCCCTCTCTCCTGCTCCATCTCCCAGCCTGGCATGGCCCCTGGCTGCAGGACAACCCCCCTAACGCACGGTCCTACCGGTGGATCTCCTTCCCTCTGGCACGGAGGTAAATCCCATCCACTCCTTGTCTTTCATCCCCAAGACAGTCAGGAGCTGAGGATGGAGACCAGAGAAGACAAATCCATGTGGCAGAACCTCGTGCAAGAGGCTGTATTGAGCAGCTCCACAGCACAGGAAGCCAATGGGGATCCTGCACAAGGAGGGGCTGCAAAGGCAGATTGTGGGGATATGAGGAAGAAAGACCCACTGTCCTGGTTTAGGGCAAATTTGGGAGAAAACCCACAGGATGAGCCCCCCCCCCCCCCCCCCCCCCCCCACGACAGCAAACTCCCACAGCCCCTCCTCCCAACCTGCTTCGGGAAGAATTTCCTTGGAGAGAAGTGGAAAACAAAAACCCTGTTTTTTAACAGACAGAAACTGTCCCCAGCACAAAAATTTAAAAACATCAGAGTACAAAAACCCTTTCACCGCTCTGAAGAGATGACAAATTCAGAAAGTCTCTTATGGGAGTGGTCGCCCAGTTCTCGGTCTCTGGCGCTGGGGATGGCTGTTGCAGGTCACAAAATGCAGGCAGGTGTCTTTCGGTGTTTCCCAGGTCCCAGTCCGGAGATGGTTGGAATGGTATTCAGGAAAAGGAAAGAAAAAAAAGCAAGGGCAAAAGCAAAAGCAAGGAGCGGGAGCACAGCCAGCCAGCAAGCAAGTCCTATCCTCTCTCCTAGACCTCCTCCCATGGGGGGGAGGGCTGTTAACGAGACAAAACAAACCAGCCCAGAAGTCACAGTTCATAAACAGAACACATGATTGTTGCTGTTCGACCGGCTTCGGGCGGGCGCCGGCGGGACACAGCGGGAGGGGGAGAGAGGTGGCACCGCTTTTTCCCCTTCGGCTCTGCGGGGCTCAGTTCTAGCGTGGAACAGACGAAAGGACGACACGGGGCTCGGGTGCAAACACATGTGGGAGCGTGTTCCTGAG